TTAAATGCTCAAGTGTATTTGAACTGAACATGGAGTATCTTTGTGGCTTTTACTCACCAGTAAAAATATTTAGAGAATAATGTTGCTGGTATGAAGCTGCTGATTGGCTGGCTCTAGATGCAGGCGATATGCAACTTTACTGCATGCTTGTCTATGTCATAATGTGTATATTAACGGTTGAGAAATAAACAGTAGAATAGATATGTGTTTTGTACATTATTTTTTAACAGTTCATATTTGTCACACTGTGTTCCATTACTCCATGAGCATATGTACTGTATATGACCATTGGGGGTGGTTTGGCTTAGATACGGAACATACCATTTTGATACTGATTTTAAGGGTCAAGTTCAGACCTTGGCTTATCTACAGTCATATACGGTATTTGTTTTCAAGGATTTCAAAATAGAATTTTTAAATTCACTGACAGTGGCATGCATACTTTAGCATGTACAGGCCATATTTTTGTAAAATTAGTTATTTTTCTAAAATGTTTGGTCCAAAATGCAACTTTCGTTGAAAGTATTTTCAGGAACTCTAGTTTCCAGCAAGCAGTTGTTTCTTGTTATGCATGCCACTCAATTATTTTCTTATCTACAATGAAAACACTAGGCATGGCAGGATGATACCACTGTTATCATTGTGTGGCTGTACCAGACCCTGTTTTATTACCTACAAGGGCAAACATATTGGGGTTCATATTTTGCGTTCTACATGCGGCGACCACGGGTAGCCAGCCTATGTTTGAAAGTAGATTTGGGTTTATTTTCCTCAATTTGACGATTTCGGTAATAAACAGAATATTATGTTCGTGCCCATGTCATACTATGTTTATGACACTCGTGCCTAAATAACATTTAGGCACTCGTGTCGTAAACATAGTATGACATGGGCACACATATAATATCCTCTATATCATTGTGTTGATTCAGTCAGGGGTGGCATTACCAGACCCTGTTATCACTGTGTAGGGCAAGTCAGGGGTGGCTGTACCAGACCCTGTTATCACTGTGTTGAGTAAGTCAGGCATGGCAGTACCAGACCCTGTTATCATTGTGTCAAGTAAGTCAGGCATGGCAGTACCAGACCCTGTTATCATTGTGTCAAGAAAGTCAGGCATGGCAGTACCAGACCCTGTTATCAATGTGCCAAGCAAGTCAGGGGTGACAGAACCAGACCCTGTTATCATTGTGTCAAGCAAGTTAGGCGTGGCTGTACCAGACCCTGTTATCATTGTGTTGAGCAAGTCAGGCGTTGCAGTACCAGACCCTGTTATCATTGTGTCAAGCAAGTCAGGCATGGCAGTACCAGACCCTGTTATCATTGTGTTGAGCAAGTCAGGCGTTGCAGTACCAGACCCTGTTATCATTGTGTCAAGCAAGTCAGGCATGGCAGTACCAGACCCTGTTATCAATGTGCCAAGCAAGTCAGGGGTGACAGAACCAGACCCTGTTATCATTGTGTTGAGCAAGTCAGGCGTTGCAGTACCAGACCCTGTTATCATTGTGTCAAGCAAGTCAGGCATGGCAGTACCAGACCCTGTTATCAATGTGCCAAGCAAGTCAGGGGTGGCTGTACCAGACCCTGTTATCATTGTGTCAAGCAAGTCAGGGGTGGCTGTACCAGACCCTGTTATTGTGTCGAGCAAGTCAGGGGTGGCTGTACCAAACCCTGTTATCATTGTGTTGAGCAAGTCAGGGGTGGCTGTACCAGACCCTGATATCATTGTGTCAAGCAAGTCAGGTGTGACAGAACCAGACCCTGTTATCATTGTGTCAAGAAAGTCGGGTGACAGTACCAGACCCTGTTATCAATATGCCAAGCAAGTCACGGGTGACAGAACAAAACGTACCCTGTTATCACTGTGTTGAGCAAGTCAGGGGTGGCTGTACCAGACCCTGTTATCATTGTGTAAAGCAAGTCAGGCGTGGCAGTACCAGACCCTGTTATCATTGCGTAAAGCAAGTCAGGTGTGGCAGTACCAGACCCTGTTATCATTGTGTTGAGTAAGTTAGGGGTGACAGAACCAGACCCTGTTATCATTGTGTCAAGCAAGTTAGGCGTGGCAGTACCAGACCCTGTTATCATTGTGTTGAGTAAGTTAGGGGTGACAGAACCAGACCCTGTTATCATTGTGTTAAGCAAGTCAGGCGTGGCAGTACCAGACCCTGTTATCATTGTGTTGAGCAAGTCAGGCGTTGCAGAACCAGACCTTGTTATCATTGTGTCGGGCAAGTCAGGCGTGGCAGTACCAGACCCTGTTATCATTGTGTTGAGCAAGTCAGGCGTTGCAGTACCAGACCCTGTTATCATTGTGTCAAGCAAGTCAGGCACGGCAGTACCAGACCCTGTTATCAATGTGCCAAGCAAGTCAGGTGTGACAGAACCAGACCCTGTTATCATTGTGTCGAGCAAGTCAGGGGTGGCTGAACCAGACCCTGTTATCATTGTGTCAAGCAAGTCAGGGGTGGCTGTACCAGACCCTGTTATCATTGTGTCGAGCAAGTCAGGGGTGGCTGTACCAGACCCTGTTATCATTGTGTCAAGCAAGTCAGGGGTGGCTGTACCAGACCCTGTTATCATTGTGTCAAGCAAGTCAGGTGTGACAGAACCAGACCCTGTTATCATTGTGTCAAGAAAGTCGGGTGACAGTACCAGACCCTGTTATCAATGTGCCAAGCAAGTCACGGGTGACAGAACCAAACGTACCCTGTTATCACTGTGTTGAGCAAGTCAGGGGTGGCTGTACCAGACCCTGTTATCATTGTGTCAAGCAAGTCAGGGGTGGCTGTACCAGACCCTGTTATCATTGTGTCAAGCAAGTCAGGTGTGACAGAACCAGACCCTGTTATCATTGTGTCAAGAAAGTCGGGTGACAGTACCAGACCCTGTTATCAATGTGTCGAGCAAGTCAGGGGTGGCTGTACCAGACCCTGTTATCATTGTGTCGAGCAAGTCAGGGGTGGCTGTACCAGACCTTGTTATCATTGTGTCGAGTAAGTCAGGGGTGGCTGTACCAGACCCTGTTATCATTGTGTCAAGCAAGTCAGGGGTGGCTGTACCAGACCTTGTTATCATTGTGTCGAGTAAGTCAGGGGTGGCTGTACCAGACCTTGTTATCATTGTGTTGAGTAAGTTAAGGGTGGCTGTACCAGACCCTGTTATCATTGTGTCAAGCAAGTCAGGGGTGGCTGTACCAGACCCTGTTATCATTGTGTCAAGCAAGTCAGGGGTGGCTGTACCAGACCTTGTTATCATTGTGTTGAGTAAGTTAAGGGTGGCTGTACCAGACCCTGTTATCATTGTGTCGAGCAAGTCAGGGGTGGCAGTATCAGACCCTGTTATCACTGTGTTGAGCAAGTCAGGCGTGGCTGTACCAGACCCTGTTATCATTGTGTCGAGCAAGTCAGGGTTGGCTGTACCAGACCCTGTTATCATTGTGTCGAGCAAGTCAGGGTTGGCTGTACCAGATCCTGTTATCATTGTGTCGAGCAAGTCAGGGTTGGCTGTACCAGATCCTGTTATCATTGTGTCGGGCAAGTCAGGCGTGGCTGTACCAGACCCTGTTATCACTGTGTAGAGCAAGCCAGGGGTGACAGTACCAAATCCTGTTATCATTGTGTCGGGCAAGTCAGGCGTGGCAGTACCAGACCCTGTTATCATTGTCAGGGCTCTCCCGCCGTGATGTTGCTTGAATATTGCTAAAAGCGGCGTAAAACCAAACTCAGTCAGTCAGTTGTCAGGGCTCTCACAGGTTCTTGAGCCCAAGATCGGTTTACATAGTCTCGTTAAGAACTTCATTACCAGCTCACATGGGCACAATGTGTTAAGCCCATTTCTGGTGTCCCCCGCCGTGATTTTGCTGGAATGTTGCTAAAACGGCGTAAAACCAAACTCAGTCAGTCAGTCATTACCAGCTATAGGAGCTGGCATACATCTTCACTTCTTAAAGCTACGATGCAGGTAAGGAGCAGCACAGTAACTGGACGTGTTTATAGTTAGATGATGCTGGGCAAAAATGTCAAACTGTTGATTGTGTGGCAAAGTCCCATTGAAATCAGGCACTTGCATCAGAGTCAAATTGTATGTACTCAATCTATTGTTTTCTACCCATCAATCTTCGAGTCCATGACAGTATGTTTGATCTGTCTACTCAGAAAACAGTTAAACTTCACACTGTAAAAGGTATTTCTCAAGACTTTCTAATTTCATGGAATATTAAATGATATCATAGTTAAAAGTGAGAATTTGTGGATTTCACCTTTTTTCTAGCTACAGATCAGTTTGGAGTATAATCTTACTTGTATCGTCTGAAACGTTGTGAGGTAGCCTTGTGGTTAAAGTGTTTGCTTGTAATGCTGAAGGCCCGGGTTCTATTCCCCATATGGCTACAATGTGTGAAGCTCATTTCTGGTGTCCCCCGCTGTGATATTGCTGGAATATTGCTAAAAGTGGCGTAAAACCAAACTCACTCACTCGCACTGAAACATTGTGTTCCTGAAAATAAAGAAGTTTACATCAATAAATTATTGCCTTTATGAGTGTCATTTCTAAATGCCGTTCAACAATAACGTGGTTATGTATCAACACAACTCTTGAAAACCCTGGGGCAGTGGGACAACCTTGTGGTTAAAGCCTCCGCTCGTCATGCCGAAGACCCTAGTTTGAATCCCCACATGGGCGCAATGTGTGAAGTCCATTTCTGGTGTCCAGTGCTGTGATATTGCTGGAATGTTTCTAAAAACTTCGCAAAACCATACTCACTCACTTGAAAACCTGATGCCCCTATTGTCATTGCTCATCACCCCTTAGCATCAAGGTTTTAATGGAGATTAGCCCAGTGGAAAGTGTGTTTGCTTGCTCACTGAAAAAACAAGGTTCACATTTCAACCTGGGTATATCCAAGTCTCATGCTGTCAGCATCTAGTGTTCTCTTTTTCAGTCATGCTACAACTCATTCAATATAAATATTTTCACTCAGTTCTCTCCCTTTGTTTCAGCTGCGCGATCGACTTGGAGGGGATGTCGGTGGGCGTGGCAAGTTACGGAAGAAGAACTGGATGTTCTGGTGACAGGAAATGACTTCAGCTTTTTGTCTTTCTGCTCCTCAAAGTCTTCTCCTGTCACACTCATCACAGGATGTGGATCCGGAGGACTCTGTCATAGTGCTTTTGGCCCACTGTTTATACAATATTGGATCCTTCTTGTTATATATAATACCATCAACAGGGTTTACATATTTTTAGTGTTTTTAAAATGGAAAGAACATTATGACTTCTTGTTACATTTAAGCTGTCATATCGTTTTGTAAATGTTTTGCTGAAAATATTTTGGGTCACAATTGCCTCTGATGAACTGTTTGCGAAGTATTTAATCTGGATTGACTGTTTGCCTGTATCAAGTCTAGACAGACTGGTGTGCCTGCATTCTGTCTGGACAGAGTGTTGTGCCTGTGTCTGGTCAAGATTGACTGCTGTGCCTATTTTCATCTAGACAGACTATAGGACCTGTGTGGAGTCAAGGCCACACGAAGTAGTTGGCGCTAACAGCTAGTCTCATTTTCAGCTACAACACAGTCACATAAGGGAAGAAGATGGCGCTAGCAGGTAGATGCTCTTTCACCTACATCAATATCATGTCAGGATGAAAATGGAACTAGCAGCATAGCCTCACTTTCATTTTCGCTAATGATTGGTCAACCCTCCTTCACATTTTTGAATGAAGGAGGAATCGTTGACACACGATGTACAGTGTTAGATAATATGCATGTCCCACCTGGTACCTCTAATGCCGGGTGGAACATGCTCATTATTCTCCGCCTCTGACCTGATAACAGTCCGTCTATCATGTGACAAGGCGTTGATGAAACTGTTCAAGTTCCCAGTACCCCATCCTCTGTAACTCCAGGGTGTGCATTCAGTAGACTTACTTGAACCCCTTGATCCTTTGCTATGGTTCCTATCATCAACAGTTACCCACCGTGGATTTGTATGGACATTTAACCGACCACACATATTGGGGTAGGGTAAAGGATGTAGCTCATGTTATCTTGAAGCCATGGACTTGAAGACATCCTTTCCAGCAAAACTATTTTTCAGGGCTTCTTTTTACATGTCAGTCAGAATTTCTCGTAAATGTAATCATAATCAGTAGGACTGGCGGCCATATTGTTGATAACCCAACATTGAAGCTGGTTTTTAAGGGCACATTCTGAGTAAGCAACCAATCAAATTACAGTTGGAAATCATGGGCAGGTAATTTGAGGTAACAGATCCACACGTTATGGCAGGTGTACTGAAATGTGAGCCTAGATACAGAGAATGCCATTACCCACACACCATTAAATTTCAGTGTTTACTCAAACATTGTATTGACATATCCACTGAATATTTGGCACTTGTGACGTTTGAATTCTATTGGGTTTTGTAAAAGAAAAACAACATATATGTTTAGATGGCATACCCTCTTGTGAACCTAAATATCAGTTGGGAGAGGTAGAACCCCAGCTTCTGATTTGTGTACAGCCTACCATTTTTCTCAACTGGTCACAAACATACACAACTTTTTTGGCATTTGAGCACAGCTCCTTCCATGCCCACCCTGTACACCCATGCTCCAACCATCTCCCTCCCCAAACACGCACACTCCTTCCATGCCCACCCTGTACACCCATGCTCCAACCATCTCCCTCCCCAAACACGCACACTCCTTCCATGCTCACCCATGCTCACCCATGCTCCAACCATCTCCCTCCCCAAACCAGCAAGTTCCAGTTATCCCCCCCTCAAAACACCCATTCTCCTATAAATTTCCCCCCATCCCCCACTCCCCCTAAAACACCTACACACCTTTAATCCCCTGTCACCCACACCCACACAACCTCCTTTGCTCACAGAATATTAGAGATTTATTCCAGAGCTATATTGTGCTAAGAAAACCTTGCCATGTTCCCCTGCATGACTGACTGCAGTGATACATCAATAATACTCCCAACAAAATGAATATTGTCCCACAGGTGGACAGATGAGTGATGGAATGCATGCTGTTAACTCATCGACAGCTATTAGTTTATTCACGGGTGCTCACAACCATTTCACTCACTTTGTCTTTTGCATATTTGTATTCCAAAATCACTACAAGCCGTGATGTTTTAGCATCAAACCGAGCTTTGTCTTCATTTTGTGAAGTTTTATTCAGATTCACACATATGAGGAAGTATATTTGCTGTTAGAGATGATGATGTTGGAGACGTAAAACATGATTCAATGACAATAATGGTCCATGACGCCATTGCACCGATTGACCATGTCGCTTTGCAGTTCAGCATTCATTCGCCTAAAAATGGTTCAGCTTCTCAAGATTCGTGTTCCTATTCATCGTCAGTAGTTTATACCACCTTCCTCCATCACCAGTGAAAACATAACTGATGCGCCGTATTTTCCTCAATATAATACCTGGCCTCAGTTAAATGTCCGCTAGATTTTTTTTACCAATGATTATGTTTGCAATTAAACTCCATCGTAATCTTGTAAAAAATAGTGCCAGTGAGCGTCTTTGAGGTGGATATAGCCTCTCTAGAAATGTTTTATTGTAAATAATTATTAAAGAGTTGATAGAAATATATGCCTGGGCTTAAAAAGAGGGAAATGTGGTAGCGTCGTGATGAGATCTGTCAACAGAAGTCAGCTAATCAGGCTATGTGTAATGCAAGTCAAATAAGTTCATATTCATGAATGCAGTGTCGACACTACCACTGACTGACAATGAAGCAATAGTTTTATCCTGCCATGATATTGCTGGAATATTGCTAAATCGGAGTAAAACTAAGATCTCTGGCTTGCTTTTTTTAGTATTAATTGATGAGCCAAGTGCAGTCTAAAAATATCATAGAACTGAACTGGATATGTAAAGCTGCTGGAATAGCATCAGGTGTCCCAGAAGTCTTGTTTTGTGAATATTTACTCAAACCATCAAACCAGGTTCATTTATTTCCCAATCCTAGCATCCCTATGATGACCATAGAGTGTATCCAGTTGTATGTACTGTTGATATGATAGTATAGTTTTTGACATGCTCCCCTTTGTGTGCTGTCTTCCAGTGATAGAAACCTATGTGATCTTCCCGTGGGAGTTTTTTGTTGTAACGGTAATATACAGGTGCACAGTATGTTCTGGTAAAGGTAACCCATTCGCTATGATATCATTTTCAGAAAATATTGAAAATGTTAAAAAAAGCCTACTACCTCAAAATGTAGATTGAACCAGAGACGAGCCTCAGGTCAAGATTATGGATTTAAAGGGAGACACACCTCAGATCAGTGTACAGGTTTATAAAGGGTCTCAAGGCCAGTATATAGGGTCAAAGGGGTACACTTTTGAGGTCAAGATGCAGATTTAAAGGGAGGCTCACTTGAGGTCAGTATATATGGTTAAAGGGGTACTCTGTTGAGGTCAAGATACAGATTTAAAAGGGGATTGACTCATCGAATCCAGGATACAGATTTACATGGATACATTTTGACTAATTAGTTTAGAGATCTGACAATTATATAGGATGATATTCCTGATTTCCCTTGTGAAAAACATAGCTGGTTGTAATTTCAGTACTGAAATATCTCATAATTATACATGTAACAGTCAGTGTTTCTGTTCTCTGGTATATACCAGACTTTGACTGGTACAAAGTTAGAATGTCCGGTAATTTCAAAGGCTGTCGGTCATCGTATCCGGCAAATTTTAAAATCAATTTTCTAATAACCTGTCAATTTTATTTCTCCTCGAAAAAGATTACAAATTCACAATGACATTGAGGTGTTGTCAAATAAAAAATACCAGTTTGGGAAAACCCCAGGCTAAAAATAGCAGCATTGACGCACCTTGACACCCTCACATTTCTCATTGGTTGTTAGGGTACAAGGTCTCGCGCACAATGAAAAATGTGATCACTTGACTGGTAAAATTTACAAATGACCGGTATTTGAAATGCTAGCCACTCTGTCACAATGTCCAGTTGTAAAAAACGCCAGCTGAAACACTGACAGTGCTGTACAGAGTTCTCTGTCTGCATGTGTGACCTTTAAAGCCCATTCACATGTCACTGTTAATGGGACAAAGATGTCATTTGGAAATAGTACTGTGCACCTTACTCAATTATAAGTTTGAATATATAAAATACAAAAATCCATTCATATATCTATTTACTTTTCAACAAATGTCAACAAATGAATATTTTTTTATCATTAAGAATTATATTAACCTTTTCCAAAGAAAATACATTATTTTGAGGTAGAAAAAGGCATGTTTCAATGGACAGTTAATGTTTGTTGAATCTGGTTTATTCAGATACATTTCAGGGCCCCATTCCTCAAAGCAATCATAGTGCTACGACAGTCGTAATTCTATGTTAAAGTATGGGAGTTAGGATCCTCTTAGCGCTACGATCGCTTTGAGAACGGGGCCCTACATGATTTATAGATGAAGTTACAATAAAGGCTGGATATAGCATCATGGCCTGTTGTCAAGCTCAGGATCCTTGGTTACCAACAAACTTTCACACCCGTATAAGATTTGTGCTTCATGTGTTGTTCGTATTTCAGAGCTTGTCTATATTTTGAACAGGGCAATTGGTACCATATTATTGACAATCAGTTGTTTTCGAGAAAATTGTCTGTGTGGCTGAAGCACAAGGCGAGAAGGTTTTGTAACATTCATTCAACAGTTTTGTGAAAGTAATCCAATGGCAAACTTGGGTATAGTTATGATCTACGGGGCTAAATAGATTTGTGTTTATTGCCAATGGGGATATATGGAACTTGATTTGAGTTAATTGCCAACTGGTATAAATAGAATGTGGGTGTAGTATCTACTGGGCTCAGTAGTTTGGGGTTAATTGCCAGCTGGTATACTAGTATATAGAATTTGGGTGTAGTATCTAATGGTCTAAGTAGATTTGGGTTAATTGCCAGCTGGTATATATAGAATTTGGGTGTAGTATCTACTGGGCTAAGTAGATTTGGTTTAATTGCCAGCTGGTATATATAGAATTTGGGTGTAGTATCTAATGGGCTAAGTAGATTTGGTTTAATTGCCAGCTGGTATATATAGAATTTGGGTGTAGTATCTACAGGGCTAAGTACATTTGGGTTAATTGCCAGCTGGTATATATAGAATTTGGGTGTAGTATCTAATTAAGTAGGTGCCAGATATAGAATTTGGGTGTAGTATCTACTGGGCTAAGTAGATTTGGTTTTAATTGCCAGCTGGTATATATTGCCAGCTGGTATATATAGAATTTGGGTGAATTTAGTATCTACTGGGCTAAGTACATTTGGGTTAATTGCCAGCTGGTATATATAGAATTTGGGTGTAGTATCTACTGGGCTAAGTACATTTGGTTTAATTGCCAGCTGGTATATATAGAATTTGGGTGTAGTATCTACTGGGCTAAGTAGATTTGGGTTAATTGACAGCTGGTATATATAGAATTTGGGTGTACCCTGTCTAGTATCACACTGTCAACAGATAACACTTGGCTTTAACAATGTAAAAATAATTGTACATTTATGTTACTCTTTCATAGCTCAAGTGATGGATGTCTGATGTGGTCAACCTCATCAGTTAGAAGGCAATCATGTATTTTGGGGGTGTTATTCAACATTTCATGCCCTTCAATTTGTTGTTCCCCACTGTGATATGGCTTGATTGTTGCTAATAGTCATGTCAAACTCTTCACTACCGGGATTTCCCGTATTTAAGCCCTGGGCTTAATAACAGAAAATGACCCCTCTCGTTAACAATAAAAACCCCATAATAAAGCCCAGGGCTTAAATTTGGGAAATGCTTGTAACTGAAGAAAATGATTCTAAGACACAGTAAAATGGAATGAATTTTAATAATGATATTATCATATTTTATTGTGACTGCGTTTGAGTCATATGGATTGAGATTGTCTATTTGAGTATAGAGTACCTGACCTCTCTTGGGACTCCGAAACGTTCTATACACATGAAAACCTCTAACAGCATGTTACATATGCTGACGTTTGCCATGTGCTTTTGCAAGGGGATGTCACACTAAACAATAAAATTTGAAATCTTAATTTAGGCCCATGGGCTTAATAACGGGAAAATATCCCGTTTTTAAGCCCAGGGGCTGAATTTCGAGTGGGCTTAAATACGGGAAATCCCGGTAGATCTGTGACAAGTAAGATACTGCTTTCCTGATGAGATACTACAGGTGAGGCTGTTTATAGATCAACATTTAATCTCTGAAGTAAAAATTAAGGATTTGTTTAAATTGTCTTGTAATGTGTAAGATGAGAGAATATCTTCATTTTCAGTCTCATACTAAAGGAGTCTTCCTTTCATAGATTTCTTTTTTTAATTAAGGAGAATCTACATGCAATACTAATGCATTTTTCATGAGCATCCATCTTTCAGACATTGTACTGTTACCATATCCACATCGCTGAGTCTGTCGTTATGTCATGGTTGATTGATATGCATTGTTTTTGTTGTATAAAGGTCATTATACGGTCAAGGTCATTAAGATTAACCAAGCATCTAAACAGAGTTAAAGCAAAATATCTTGACTGTCACTGATGCTCCATGTTGTTGGACATCTTGACTGTCACTGATGCTCCATGTGGTTGGACATCTTGACTGTCACTGATGCTCCATGTGGTTGGACATCTTGAGTGTCACTGATGCTCCATGTGGTTGGACATCTTGATGCTCCATGTGTGGACATCTTGACTGTCACTGATGCTCCATGTGGTTGGACATCTTGACTGTCACTGATGCTCCATGTGGTTGGACATCTTGACTGTCACTGATGCTCCATGTGGTTGGACATCTTGACTGTCACTGATGCTCCATGTGGTTGGACATCTTGACTGTCACTGATGCTCCATGTGGTTGGACATCTTGACTGTCACTGATGCTCCATGTGGTTGGACATCTTGACTGTCACTGATGCTCCATGTGGTTGGACATCTTGACTGTCACTGATGCTCCATGTGGTTGGACATCTTGACTGTCACTGATGCTCCATGTGGTTGGACATCTTGACTGTCACTGATGCTCCATGTGGTTGGACATCTTGACTGTCACTGATGCTCCATGTGGTTGGACATCTTGACTGTCACTGATGCTCCATGTGGTTGGACATCTTGACTGTCACTGATGCTCCATGTGGTTGGACATCTTGAGTGTCAGCCACCAATATTTAGCAAATGTCTTCACTCTGAGGGTCACTGAGATGTGTTTAATGTCTTAAGTGTCATGGTCAATTTGGTTAAATTGTGATCCTGTTGAGGTTGCTGAGGTAAGTCAGATGTCTTCTCTAGCAAGATCACTAAGGTAAATCATGTGACTTTAATGGCAACGATTGATGGAGG